CTAAATATTGTCCCCTCATATTTATTTGAATAAAGTTAAAAAAAGAAAAAAAGAAGAGCCTTGGATCACCATGATCCTCAAGACCACACCTGACGTATTGCCACCTCAGCTGAATTCTGATGCTTAAAAAATGCAATTACCTTTGACACTGGTGTTCATTTATTTTTTCTAAATAAAAGATGACACATTCATTATGAGATAGGTTGATAGGTAATGAATTTTTCAGGATATTTTAATTGAGGCTTATAGTCAGTTATCAGTATAAAATATTATTATATTAAATAATTTATGAATTAATGGTCTGGATATGCAAAATGAAAATATCCTTCATTTCTGAGCATCTGAAAAGCCTTTTATGTAGTAGCTTGGGTAAGAAGTGATACACCAAGATTGACTGGTCATGAGATTTTTTTCCTGTAGTATATACTTTTATTCATTCATTTCTCTATTCGAGAACAAAGCTCTGCCTCTGTGGTAACAAAACCCTTCTAAAAAAACCTGTGGAATCTATTTCCCAACACCATAGCATGAGAACATAAAGCAGAGAAGTGAGATGTGGAGTAAAGGCGATTTTATTTTCACCCTCCAAACACAGCATTCAAACTTATTATTTACTGCCAGATTCTCTTGTCTTTTATATTCAATCAATACCTTATTTGCTTTCTCACTTTTGAGAAAATAGTGTATCCAGACTCTGGCAAACTATAGACAAGGCTGGATGTGAGTTCTTTGATTTTCTGCCTCATAAAGTCACTTCCTTCCAGATGTCTTTTAGTTCTCAGTAGAAATTCTAGTCTGGGCTCGGCTCCTATAGCTCAACCGGCTAAGGCGCCAGCCATGTACACCTAAGGTGGCGGGTTCGAATCCCCAGCCCGGACCCGCCAAACAACAATGACGGCTGCAACCAAAAAACAGCCGGGCGTTGTGGCGGGCGCCTGTGGTCCCAGCTACTTGGGAGGCGGAGGCAGGAGACTCGCTTGAGCCCAGGAGTTGGAGGTTGCTGTGAGCTGTAATGTCACAGCACTCTACCCAGGGGGACAGCTTGAGGCTCTGTCTCAAAAAAAAAAAAAAAAAAGAAATTCTAGTCTGCAATGATGTGTCACGTCACCTTGAGAAAAGGGATTTTAGGTCACCGAGCATCCCCCCATAGAAGAAATCGCATTTGAGCCAGGAGCCCAAACTTCACCTTGAGAGCAATTTAGACATGAGGGTTCAAGGTGAAAATAATGTTGACTTTTATAGGCGATAGAAAGAAAGGGCTTTACTCGTTATCACAAAGCATCCATTTCCTGTTTCCAGTAAAGCGAAGGATTCCTGTCCCTGCTGCTCAAGAAGGCCGCTTTTAGGACATGTCATTGCCTCACATGGAAATCAGACTGGGGACAGTGCACCAGCAACGCTGTCAGGCTATGTAATTTTTTAAGGAAGTCATGAATGCCTCAGGAAGAAAAACTAGGTGTGGGGATGTTTGCATGGGAATAATGAATCCATCTCCCTGCAGTTCTGGCTAAACTGAGCGTGGGAGTGAAACAGAACCTGGGGCTTTCTGAGTTCCCGGGCCAGTCTCTCCACACTGCGAATGAGAGTGCTGGGCACAGGCACACTGCAGCTTTAGCTGCCAGTGCTCCCAGCCAACCCCAGCAGAGGAGACCTGGCTGAATGCAGGAGCTGAGAGAACAGAAGAGCTGCCCAGTAAGAGGACTCTGGACCCAGGCTCTCAGCAGACCCTGGTAGCTGCACTGCAGGCCTTGTGATGGCCACTGGCCACTGCCTCCAAATGCATTCGATGCCTTGAGTCCTTTGGCCAAACTGTGGAGAGTTAGAGCCACACTCACCCACCCGCCAGCCTGCAGTTTCCTCTGAGGACCTTCTTCAGTCACCACGGTGGGACCCAGTGAAGCTCAGAGCCTGGCCCGCCCCAGGAGTGCTGAGACCAAGAGGGGATTTGTCAAAGGCAGCCTTGAAAGTACCAAACAGTTGAGGTTTTATGATTTGAGAGGCAGTACATAAATAATCAAAAGCCTCTTCTGAGCTTCCCCCACTTTCCAAGCTGATCCTGAGAGCGACGTCCTTGTAAACACTTAGGCTAGAGTCACTCAGGAAATATAATGAATGCAGTTTGGAGGGGAGGGGCATGGCCAACAATAAAAAAGAAAAAAAAGTTATGAGTTTTGCTTTTTTTGACCATACTTGAAATGTGTTTTTCATTTGTCCCCTATAAGAAAGAGTCGCAAATCATCTTGGTTTTGAATCTGAATTGTTTTTCAAGTCTTATCTTTTTTTCCCTCTCTTTCTGTCTCTGTCTTATTTCTTTTATAATCAGCTCAATCCCCTAATTTACATAGCTGATGTGCCAATATTGTACTAATAATGCCCTCCCCAATCCACTAAAATAAAAAGTCAAAATGCCCACTTCCTTTTCTTTAAAAGTACACACATGTGTATCACTTCCTAAATTATACTCATTGTCAAGAATTCCGGGCTAAAGCAGGAAAAGACAAACCCTGCATGTTCTCCCTCACATGTGGGAGCTAAATATAAAAACAATTGATCTGCTGGAGACGGAGAGCAGCATGATAGTTACCAGAGGCTGGGAAGGGGGTGGGTAGCAGGGACTACAGAGGGGATGGTTAATAGGTCCCAAAATACAGTTACATAGAGTGAACCATGTTTGCTAGCACAACCAAGTGACTACAATCAACAAGCTAGGGGTACTTTGAAATAATTGAAAGAGTGGAATTGAGATGTTCCTAACACAAAGAAATGTTAAATGCCTAAGGTAATAAATACTCCCAACTAATCTGATTTGATTAACTCACATTGTATGCCCACATCAAAACATCACAGTTACTTTATACATATATATAACCATATGTACCCATGATAATTATAATAAAAAAAAATTCCAGGCTATAAAATCATCTAAGAGTTACCATCCGTGGTAGTAACTGTTCCTCTAGACATCACAATTGCCTTGCCCTCACATCACATCTTCAGACCCTCCGTGCTTACACACTGAGGCCAAATTCATCCTTCTCAGAATTCTGCATTTTAAAGAAAGCAGGAAATTCACATACGAATCACCCTCATTTTAGGTACTTGCATGGATTTTCCTCTACTCCTAATTAGTGGGACAAGAAGCACTGCTGTGACATCACACAAGAAAATGAAAGTTAAATCTTAGGGCTACTTCAAATTTTTGAGACAAGTATTCAGAGTCATTCTCAACTCAGAGTTACCCCAGGTTCCTTGGTTCAGCATGAAAGCCTCTTCACTGGGAATTCCTTTGACTTCAGTCTCCAGGCCAGTCATGCAAACATGGACCAGTCTCCCCTCACTGCAAATGGGGCTGCTGCCACATGGTGGCTTCACCTTCCAGGTCCTGAAGTCAAGGGCAGGAGAGGAGTGAATGTAAGAACTTCCTCAAAGAAGAATGGGAGAGTACTAAATAAAACTAATGTCAGTTGTAACTTCTAAACAGCTGGGAAGAACACAAGAAAACATCAAAGTGTACTAATACTGAAAAGTGTAGGGGGAGGGGGAGAGACCACTGGTTATGATCCAGGGGTCACAAATGCAAAGACATTTAGGGGATAGGCTGATACAAATAAATAATGGAATCAAGTTGGGTGTAAGACTATAAGAAATGAGAGGGTGCACACTTCCTGACTAAAGAGATTCACTGCTAAGTAAACTAACTACTTATCTGGGCTGGGCTGACCTGGCTTCCACACCACTTTCCTGATATTTCAAAACATGTGGATTTATTATACAAAGTATATTGCCTCTATTTCCCCATGTTTTAGCTATATGACATTGGCTACCACTGAAAGTCCTTTTAAGAAAGGGCCCCATAAAACTTATTGTGTTTATTGAAAGGATATTTACTATTATAACACAGTGGCCACCCTGTAACTGCCCAGGAAGACATTTCTTTCAGGTGTCAGCACCAGTAAGAGTCAAGTTTCTCTCATGATCAGAGTAACTTCTTTGATAATGTCACCCTCTTTGTCATGGCTTCCAGAAAGCATGAAAGTAGATTTGCAACCTACCTATGACTGGGTGAGAGTTTTTGATAAGCTCTGACTTAAAGATTCATTCCTGTGTGGTTCCATTAGACTGTTACACTGGCACCCTACCTGCTCGGTCACAAGAGTGACCCAGGCAGTTAATCAGAATGCCCATTGGCTTAATAATGTGCATGTGACCCCAGGAAGACCAATCAGAAGCTTCTCTGGAATCACTATGTAGATACTGGGGATATAAGAGCCCGGCAGCCATCTCGTCCACTATATGGAAAGAGAGTTTGCGTCAGAAGCCCCAGGGAGCAACAGAGCTGAGGGCAATGAGCGAGAAGGGGAGCAATCCTGATGATACGTCCTGTGAATTCTGTGATTTCGTCTGAAGCCGGTTCCTCCCTGGACTTTTTTGTTACAATCGTTCTTTTTTTTTTTTTTTTAATGAACCAGAAATACAAGATTTCACTGAAACTGGAATAGTTGACAAAATATGGTTGAACTTAAACCTTCAAGGAAGATACAAAAAGGGTCAAACAAAGCCAGTAAGTAGAAAAGCCCAAGACTGGTATGGGATAAACAGGAAGCCAACTGCATTCCAACATAGCTACCTCCTGACCCCTCCCAGAAGCTCCTCTGCCACCATCCTCCATCCTTCTTCCTCTGTATTGCAGGTCAAAGACAACCCAATGGTACCCCTTTGGGATATGACATAAAGCCAAGTCTGTAAATCTCTCATGAAGGTAGAAAGTGCATGTACTCAACTAGCACAAAATGGTCTCATCTGTGTGGGCTCAGTGGACAGGGTAGTAACTTCAGTCAAACCAGAGCTGCTACCACATGTATACTGTTATGTGGCCCTGTGGCAATGGTTTCCACTTATCAGTGTGGCAGAATGCCTTTTTGAGCTCCAGATTTTCTGAGCATTTCTAAGAGGCTATTAAAAATGTAGAACAGAACTATACAAACTCAGAAACCGAGGCATCGGGGAGAACGCTGGCTCTTTCTGTAGGACAAAGAGATGAACGGAAGGAATGTGAGTGTCACAACATATGACAGGTGAGGGGAAGGAGGGGTAGAAAGAGGGTGTTCTAGCCACAAAGCCAACACATTTGTGTTCAAAGTCTGGGCAAAGGGAAGAAAACAAAAATACCAAAAACCCAAAACCCCAACCAAATTGAAGTGGGGGAAAAAAAGTTTCACACAACACAGTATCAAAAAGTGAAAGGAACACCTAAATGCACAAACTGGTGGCAAGTCCATAGCCTATTATGATAGGTCCATCCAGCATCAATCCAATTTCTTCTCAGCTGTTATCTCAAGGTTATTTACAGATGTGGTGACTTTAACAAGAGTCTCTCATGGGATGGTGGTCAGGCTTCAATCATTGGTTTCAGGATCTGTCTGAGCCATGTAGGCATCCAACTCGGCATCCAGGTGTCCTTTCGTTTTTGACATGTATGCATCCAACTGGTTGTCCAGCTGTTCCTTGGTCAACACAGGGCGAGCAAGGGCACCTCTCCC